TTATTATTTATTTGTGATTTTTGGTTAAACTATTTGAAGCATTACGAGCAAGTGATCAGAACCAACATTTGCCAAACGCCTTACCATTTAAAGTGATGCAAAAATAAAGCATTTCTTATAAACTTCTTCTCACTCTCTATTAACTTTCAGATCGAAACACAATTTTGTTTTTTCAATGAAAATAAAAAATAACTCAACATTTGTTAAGAAATAAGTTGACATTAAATAACTTATGCCATGTTTTATATTTGACTTTAAAAAATAAAATAAATATATTTTAAAAATAGACGGTCTTTAGATAATATATTCAGTATTTTAAACTAAAATATCCTAAATATATAAAAAGGATTAAGCTATGTTATGTTTTTACTGTATGTTTACTGTATTCCCGTATACATCCAAAATCTCGAAAAACAGAATCTCGAAATATAAAATCTCGAAAAACAAAATCTCGAAATTTAAAAAATCGTATTAATAATACTACACTACATCATAGTATTAATATCATGATTATTACCTTATTGAACCATTAGGTTGGGTTAGGTAACCCGCGGAGTACTGGCCCGGCCCGATACAGTTTTGTTATCGGTTTCAGCTCTTCGCCTATAGCAGATATAGCTTACTATCCCGGATGCCAGCTACATCAGATATATCTGGATGTGCTAGTTACTCGGGTGTAGTGTTATTAATATGATTTTTAAAATTTCGAGATTTTGTTTTTCGAGATTCTGTGTTTCGAGATTTTGATGTACTCCCGTTAATTCAGTACTTTTAAAGATATCGAATGTTCAAGAACTTTATTTTTCCTTTATTTTTTCTAATTAAAATATTTTAAGATTGTTGTTTACACAATTAAGTTGGTCATTTAATAACTTGTTTAATTAACAAGTATCATAAGTATAATATAAAAATTTAAAAATTATATTAGAACATTTTCTAACAAGTAGACAGAAACCGTTTATTGAATTCATTTCAATATGTTTTATAACTTATTTTTCATTAATTCAATACAATGAGAGGTCCTTATAAAATGGTTAAATAATTAAACTATTTTGTGTATTAGTTTCAATCTGTCACAAATGCTCATTGTAGTATGTTACCAATAAAATGTTGATGTTTTGCAAATAAATAATCTAAATGTGCTGGTCACTATTTATTAAGTGTTTCAAATATAATTCGATGTTTTTAAGAAATATTATTTATTTTTAATATCTTATTTAAAATCTAATAAAATTTAATTATTATAACCTATCATTAATAAATATTTATATCTAGAAGTTACTTATACCAATTAATGATACAAATGTTAATGAAAGCATTGATTACATTTTGTATACAGTTTACAGTACAAAATAAATGTCCGTCTTGTGCAGGTCGGCACCAATTGTCAATTGATATAAAATTGTAAATATAAGTTATACGTTAAGAGAAAGGGAGTGATGAAAACTAGTATTTTTAAACTCTTATAAGAAATGCATACATAATGTGACGGATATTTTATTGATTGATAGCTTCACTGATATCCCGATCACACAAACCGTTCAATGTTTTGTTACTTGGATTGCTTTTGATATATCAGTCCTGACTTGCATTATATTATATTCTAAATAAAAAGTCAAAAATGATTCAAAGTTTTGATTCAATTGGAGGACAACTTCTAGTGAAGACTTAGTTTAAGGAACGGTATGTTTGGCAGAGTATTAAACTTGTGTTGGCTATGAATGCATGACTTGACAATTTGAATGCCGTCTAACAGTGGCTTTATTCTCAATATCTAAACCCTGTTTATATTGTAATGAAAGAGAAAAACTTGAATATCTTTTCAATAATATTTTCAATAATAAGTTATATTTATTTGAAATCAATGTTATACTGATATTTTAAAAGTAGGTTTGTAAATGTGAATATACAGTAGTTAGTGAAAAAAAGTAAAGATTTACAGTAGAGTGTGCTATAAATCATTTTATTGTATTGAATACCTTTTTATTTAATACATTTTTGACTAATATAACATATAGTTATACAGCAGTTAAAGAACAATAAATATAAAATAAAAATCTCTATATATTCTACATTTTTAATAAGATTGAACTTAATTGCTGTGATTTGCTGACACAATGTTGAATTTCAGATGAAATAGAATAATGTTATTATATAATTCATATTTCTGTATATAAGTTATTACATTATTATATACAGAATATTGTTGTAACACATACTGTAATATTCTGTATTGAATATTATATAACAAAATATAGTAAAATAAAAATTAAATTGAAAACTGTATGTGACTGCACTGCTGAGCAAAAAAAATGAAATTTTATATTCAATGTACTTTTAATAACACTTTTGTCTAATAAACATATTAAATGTTGAGAACTTTGAATAGAATTTCATTTGCATTAATAATAATATTTCATTTAATGCTTTACATTCAATGAAATGCATTATATATATGTCTCCCAAACCTAAATGACAACTAAATTACACTAATTTATTTAGTAATTGTATTACATTTGTGTAAAAATTTTTATTAGCAAAGAGAGGTAAAGTCACGGGAATTATATTTCTAATCAATTTAATAATACCTGTCCTTTTATTATACGTTATATGTTTATAGAAACGGAAATCCGATCACTAATTCTCTCTCTCTCTCTCTCTCACACACACACACACACACACACAATCACTCACTCACTCACTTTCTTTCGTTCTTAATGACTCCAATATAGAGTTGGTGTGGGAATAAGGGAAACAACAAAATATTTATATAAAATTTGATACAAACTTTGCAATATTTTCAAGTTATGTAACAATACTGTATATATATATAATACCGGTACTAATAATTAGAGAACTTTTAGAAAACTATAACTAAAAGAGTTTAGAAACAATTAATTATCATTATTTGTAATATGAATATAAGATTTTTTTGTTTGCAATTAGATAATATTTCTAATTATATTATTACCCTAACCACATAAATTATATAGTTTTAAGTTTACATTTAACGAAATAAGTAAAGAAATGTAGCAAATAATAATGTCTATATTTTAAAACTATTTAATACTAACAGATTAGATATTTAAACCAAGTTTTATAACTGAATCTGAATTCAAAGAATAATATTATAACGAATATATATATTCTGTATATTATATAGTGTATGATAAACGTAGAATAATCTGAATAAAATGTCATAGAAAGTGAATATATACTGATAAAACATAGTCCAAGTAATCATTACCTAAGTTAGCATTCATTGTATACCTTCTCTCTATTCTTTTCAAATACTTTTCAATGAGTTTTCGTTGATTTTATTCTCAACTATACTTCAATTCAATTCATTTTGCAGTGCTTTGTCTTTTGGTCCCTTTTTGTGTTTCATTTCTATTGCAAACATTTATCTCTTTCGGGAAATTTGGAAACACATCTATGAGGGCAACAATACTGAGCACCGGTAGGAGTGATGTGTTTAGAAGACATCACTTATACTTATTAGACTGTCTTCCCTCTCAAACTTAGCACTTAAACCAACGAATTCTTCTCTTTTCAATTCAAAGTGCTTTGAAATATCCAAAACTCATTATTGATGTTCACATAGATTTCTTAGTTATATCAATTTATATTACTGTATATTAATAATTTGAATTGTAATGATTGTTACGCATTTAAGATTGAGACATTTGAATTAATTATTTATAAAATCAATATTTCTATTGTTTTGAGCCAATATTTAAATGAATTTATATTTGAAGATTGAATACATTATTGTACGTTTGAAATTACATTAATTCAATAATATAACATACAAGACAGCAATGAATAATTTATTATATTCAATATTATAAGAATACACTAATTATAACATAAAAATGATATATGCAAATATTAATAGAATTGAGTAAATTATATATTATGTGACACTTGAATTGTATGAATCACAAAATAAATTTCGTATAAATTTATTGATTTAGATATCATTTTTATTATAACCTATAATCTATAAATATAAGGTTACAGGTACTGTAATAGTATTCTAATGGATGAACTATCGTTTTACGAATAATATTCATTTTAATTAAACAATATATCAATCAATTTTTAAAATAGGCTTTTAAAATGTTTAATAAAATATCACGTAGTCGTTGATTTGACCTACAATACCTATAATGTTAAAATCTTATCCAATTTATAACGGTTCCGACCATCATATTGCATGTGGTATATCGATGGAATCAAATCAAATCAAACTTTATTTGGAATCTCTATCAACAAAAGCTGGTTTTCATAGAAATCCGTAATAGAATCAGCTCAATGAGTAGAGTAAGAAATTATCTTCTTGAGTTGAATTAAATAGAATTATCTTCTTTGACCATGGAGGAATATTAGCTGATCAAGATTAAGAAGATAATTTCTTAACCTACTCATTGAGCTGATTCCAACCATATATCACATGCAATGATTCGATGGTCGGAACCATTAATATTTTAGTATTTTAGGTATTGTAGGTCAACTGAACGTAGGTAAAATCATAGACAACCGTATGTTACTAATCCATTACCGTTATAATTTAGATTTAGAGTAGTGACCCTGTATGTTATGTAGTGACCTAATAATACATATAACGATAATAGGGTTCGTATTCCCGATACACACGACAGCCATTGATTCCGACGTGTGTCCACTCGAAACAGATTACAAGTGTTTTTAGTGATTGAAAAGTTTTCCGCAAAATTTCGCAACAATTGTACCATTTCTATGGGATTTTCAATTATTTTAGTTAATATTTATTTGAGTTTAGAGTTTGACAATACCATTATTAACTTTAGTTGTTGAATATAATTTACTCGAGATTGATCCCAAAATAGCCAGTGTAATTATGAATATAAAACAGCAACTTCTCAGTTTCATTTGCAAAGAATTTAAATATAATAATAAAAAAATTTGTTAAATATCAAATTACTAAATAACTTGTAATATTTTAAGCTGGATATTTATTGTCTATTATACTTATAGTGTAATAACAAATACAAACCCAATGATGATATGCAACCATTGAATCGGATTATCATTTCTGTGAACGCATTGCTCTAATCGTGCGCTCAATAAGTGTTTCGATGAATCTATTGAGAAAAATCAAACATTTATGAAATATATCACCTTGCACAGTACACTACAGTACAGTACCGTACAATATTCGCATAGTTTTCAAATTTCATAAAAATCATACATTTTTGAAGCATTGCATTGATATCGCGTTTACTGCAAACAGTGGGCAAACAAATACCGATCGATGCGTTCATACCATTCAATTCATCCCTTGTTTTGAACTGAATGTTAAGAAATAAATATTATAATTATAATATGTTTGTTAAGTCAATGTTCAGTTAAATGATGGACTATTCAATTGAAGTTGATTTATATAAATCTATGATTAGAAAAGTGCCATAATACTAGTGACAAAACTTTAAAATTTTAACAATATTGTAATCTTATTACATTGATAATTATAGCTATAAATTATACGAACAGGCACATTTCCAATAATATCCCGGATGCTTATTTGTAAAGTGCAATACTGGCCCACTATGTGAATGTGATTGCCATTTGTAGTATTATTAATACCCAGACACTCATCATAGTCTCCAAAGAAATATTTCGTTCCTTTTAAGATACCGGTGCCTAATGTTCCCGAAGAGTCCACCACTTAATGTTGAATACAATTATTAAATGTTTATAGTTCTATAAATGCTGATAAGGATCATCAAACTAATTATTTTTAAAAATTATGAATATTTCTATTATATAAACAATTTGATTAAGGTTATAAAACAGTTTATCCTAAATCGAGATGTACAGTATATTATCTTTGATTGAAACTTTAATTAGTCTTAAGGCAAATCATGAATAATAGAAAATGTTTGGAGCAGATCCTCCCTTTCTTCATTTCCAATAATTAGCAGTGTCCATTTATTATATAAAATAGTGTAATGCATGTATGACAAACATGAGCAATTGTAATTGATTGTTAGTACCTGGTTCATCTGACTTTAAAAAATAATCCACAGTGATCATTACTTTTATTACTTGTTTTTCACATTTAGAAATTTAATTTCAACTTTTCAATATAGAGTTCAATACTTTTCTGTAATACTTGAAAATCATATAAAAATTATTGAATTTGTACGTGTTTTGAGAATGTCATTATAAATGTAATAATATGGCCATTGGTGGCCATTCTGCTTTAGTTTGATGTACGGTATTAAACTATATTTACAGTACAGTCATATGAAAACTAAGTTTTAAGTACGTTAATATTCTTTTTACTCATATGATATTTTGGTTGTCTATCATGTTACCTACGTTGATTTGACCTACAATATCTACAATACTAAAATATTAACGGTTCCGACCATCGAATCATTACATGTGATATATGGTTGGAATCAGCTCAATGAGTAGGTTAAGAAATTCATTTCTATTCAGCTAATATTCCTCCATGGTCAAAGAGGATAATTCTATTTAATTCAACTCAAGAAGATAATTTCTTACTCTACTCATTGAGCTCATTCTATCGATATACCACATGCCATATGATGATCGGAACCGTTATAAATTGGATACGATTTTAACATTATAGGATTATATGTATTGTAGATAAATCAACGTAGGTCAAATCAACGACTACGTGATATTTTATTAAACATTTTAAAAGCCTATTTTAAAAATTGATATGATAGATTGTTTTAATTAAAATGAATATTATTCGTAAAACGATAGTTCATCCATTAGAATACTATTACAGTACCTGTAACCTTATATTTATAGATTATAGGTTATAATAAAAATGATATCTAAATCAATAAATTTAT